TTATGAAATGTATGAACCCACGGGGTGATGGTCACGTGTTGGTAAACAATGGCACACTGAGCATGAATGGCGTGGGAGACTGGTTTGGTGTGCATGGTGATGGGCAGACGGATACCAGACAGTCGCCGAAACACGAGTCTTTTCACGAAACTCGAGGCCAAATTTTTCCAAAAAAACTCGCCGAAGGTCGTATTTCACGAAAGTCAAGGCTGCCGAAACTCGGGGGTCCACTGTATTATTATTCATATTATTATTTAAGGTAGTAGGTTGGTAGACAGCAACCACCCAGGGAAGTACTACCATCCTGCCAAGTGAGTGTAAAATGAAAGCCTGTAATTGTTTTACATGATGGTAGGATTGCTGGTGTCCTTTTTTCTGTCTCATAAACATGCAAGATTTCAAGTACGTCTTGCTACTTCTACTTACACTTAGGTCACACTACACGTACATATACAAGTCGTAAGCCATGTGTGTTTTAAGAGGCGACTAAAATGCCGGGAGCAAGGGGCTAGTAACCCCTTCTCTTGTATAAATTACTAAATTTAAAAAGAGAAACTTTTGTTTTTCTTTTTGGGCCACTCTGCCTTGGTGGAATACGGCTGGTCTGTTGAAAAAAAAAATGCAAGATTTCAGGTACGTCTTGCTACTTCTTCTTACACTTAGGTCACTCTACACATACATGTACAAGCATATATACACACACCCCTCTGGGTTTTCTTCTATTTTCTTTCTAGTTCTTGTTCCTGTTGATTTCCTTTAAACTCCATGGGGAAGTGGAACAGAATTCTTCCTCCATAAGCCATGCGTGTTGTAAGAGGCAACTAAAATGCCGGGAGCAAGGGGCTAGTAACCCCTTCTCCTGTATATATTACTAAATGTAAAAGGAAAAACTTTCATTTTTCCTTATGGGCCACCCCGCCTCAATGGGATACGGCCGGTGTGTTGAAAGAAAGAATATTATTATTATTATTATTACGTTAAGAAGCATCTTTCCATCATACATTGCCCAAGTTTCAATAAGATAGTCCAACAAACAAATGAGATACAATTCCCTAGATCAAGAGCAAGAGCCCCTCACCAGCATCTAGGCACCTGCCTTGAGGTCTGCTCGCTTATGGAAATTTTGCTCACGTATGGAAGCAAAAAATTGACCCATCGACTGCTCGTATTTGGAAAAACTCGCACATGGAAGCGCTAACAAGTAGAGGTTCCACTGTACAACATTTCTGCATATTTTTTGTTGTAAACAATTACTGTAAACGAAATAATGATGAAAATATAAGTACAGTTATAAGGAATTACCAAGGAACCCTAGTTGTCTTGAAGAGAAAGGAAAGTTGATAAGTTCTTGATCAGCCAGCTGTAGTAAATACACCAAACTGCATGTAGCTAGTACAAAAATACAGTGGAACTTTGGTTGTCGACTGCATTACTTGTCGAACAAATTGGTTTTTGAACGAGGAATTCAAGAAAAAAAAAAGTCCTGGATTTTGTTTGTTCTCTTGGTTGTTGACTGACAATGGGAACACTCAAGTCACATGCTCACTAACTTGTGTGCTGTAAATTTTTCTTGAGCTTTCGTTGTGAATCTTGTGAACTTTTTTGTTATTTTGAAGTTTTGGTGCAATTTTTTTATTGTGAGATAGCCATCATGGGTCCAAAGAAGGATAAATCAAAGTCTACCATTAGCGCAACACTGGGCCAATACTTTGCAAACGGTGCAAAAGTGATATCAGAGCAAAGCCCACAAATTACTGAGGAGGCTGGAAAACTCTTGTTGATTTCGATAAACAAAAACAGTTACATGGTGATGGTGTTTCAGAGATCATTATTTATGAAAAAGTGAGGCAGTTCATGATGACCTGGAAAAAAAAAAAGTGCTGAAACTCTATCCTTCAAGGCTAATAGGGATTGGTTTGATAATTTTAAGAAAAGGAGTGGCATTCGTAATGTGGCTAGGCATGGGGAGGCTGCCAGTGTTGACAAAGTGGCTGTTAAAAAGTATGCTACTGAATTCCAAGAGTACATAGAGGCTGAGGGGTTAGTCCCCCAACAAGTGTTTGACTGTGATGACACAGGTCTCTTCTGGAAGAAAATGCCCAAGAGGACCTACATAACTGAAGAGGAAAAGTCAATGCCAGGACACAAGCCAATGAAAGACAAGCTCACTCTGTTACTGTGTGGTAATGCAGAAGAACAGTCATCAGAGGAAGAGGAGGGAAGGGATGATGTGCCCATTCCACTTGTCAAGGACAATGCCATCCAGACAAAGCAGTAGCCATCCGTCTCCCTAACATGTACAATGACAGCATAATGTCTCAATTTAGACAAGTGTTAAAATGGAGCCTGAAACAAACCTCTCTGGACAGGTTTTTAGAGACAAAGAATCAGTGAGGCAGAACAAGGTGTAGGTGGTGAAGAGAGACAAAGAAGAGAAACAACACCAGGACAGTTGCCTGACATATTAATAGAGGGTGACTCTCTTTCCAAGCAGTAACATATCCCCTCCTCTCCTCTACCTGCTTCCAGTATGCTATTAGCTCTTTGATAGGTAAAAGGCAGTTAAATTTTCATTTACTGTACAGTATTTCAGTTAAAGTTTCAGCAGCAATGGCAACATCAATGACTGCAGTCCCTTGCTTCAATGATGGCCTAATTGCAAGTACTGTACTGCTGCATGATTATACGTGGAACTTATAATGATCCAAGACAACTGACGGTGATGTCAGCAAGCTGACCAAATTCAATTAAAATGAGGACTGCCCAGCATACCAAATATCAACCCTGTTGCCACACATATAACCAGCCAAGAGATGCTTGGCTGGTTGTACCACCAGCTTACAGTAGCTGCACTTTCATATCAACTTTGCCAGTGTTCACATGGGAGGGAAACAGAGGAGAAAAAACTCCAAGTCAAACGCCAAAGCACCAAGGAAACTGTTAACCCTTTGACTGTTTCGGCAATATATATATACGTCTTACGAGCCAATGGTTTCAACGTATTAACACGTCAAAATTCTAGCGGCTTCAAATCAAGTGGGAGAAAGCTGGTAGGCCCACATGTGAGAGAATGGGTCTCCATGATCAGTATGCGCAGCATAAAAAAAAAAACGGGGAGCCAGTGGTGCATTGTGGGAATGCCATTTCAGTAGTCCTTGTTCAGTATACCTAGAGGTAAGAAATATCTGACTGCCTGGCAAATCTGGGACTCTCCTCTTCCCAAGTGATGCTCTAACACAGATGGAAGTGTCTCTGAAGATGAATTTCATGGTTTTGAGGAGTTTGTGACCGAAAGCAATGCCCAGGATACCAGAAGAAAGGAAGAAAGGAAGGCACAAAGGAAGAAAAGCACAAAGGAAGAAAGGTAGGTTGGAAAGAAGGAAGGTAGGTAGGGAGGGACGGTGGGGAAGAAGACATGGGACCCCATGGGTGCTGACAGGAAGTGAGTGATGGTATAATCTGTCATTTTGACAACAGCCACACCATGACTCAGCATATTTACACACACACACACACACACACACACACACACACACACACACACACACCACACACACACACACACACACACACACACACAAAAAAAAAAAAAAAAAAAAAAAAAAAAAAGAGCTTCCAGGAGTTAATAGCAGTTCTATGAAAGTGTCCAGTGACTATATATGTGTATATATATTATAGAAACAAAAAGGAAGGAAGGACAAGATGAAAGGAAGGAAGGAAGGAATGATGACACATGACCATTTACCTAGGATAACTACCTAACATAACTGCCTGCTACTACTTTGAAGAAAACTGCTCAGACAAGGCATTTTGTCTGTGCACATACAAAAAAAAAAAAAGCCCACAAAAATGCAGAGACACTCATTTTGCATACGAAACCATGTTTCAAAGTGTTCCACAAGCTGCAGAACTTCTAGGAACATGTCCAGTGACTGTACATTTGTATATATATATATATTATAGAACAATAGTAATAAACAATTTTCTGTATTGTTGGTTGTGTAAACAAGTTTTGTAAACAATATAATGAAAATAATGTTTGTGCAGTTATTAGTGCATACAACAACATTGCACCTTACTCTGGTCTCACATGCCACATAAGTTACTTGGAAAAAAAAATATTGGAAAAAACAAGAAACCTTTGAATGGGAGTAAATATAAATGTACCGGGTGAGCGGCATTTGCCTCTGTTGCCATATGCGGCTCATTTTCTGCCAACTTTTTGCCTCTATATCTTGGTAAGTACTGATCGCAAAAAAAAAAAAAAAATAGGCTTAAAACACTCACCAAATTAATCCTAAAATTTTGGTAAGAAAAAATAATATTTTTTTTTTTAATATACTGCGACAAAGGGAGGCGGTTTCAGAATTGGGTTGCGACACACACGCACTAAATTAAGTGATATTCACAGAATAATGTATACGTGATAAACAGTACAGTACATAAATTTATAAATATATCCCCTCGTATGTGGATGTGTGGTATTAAATTTTACTTGTAAAATTTTGATAAATTAAAATTTTGGGGTTCTCTGATTAACAAGGCATGCAACCAACCACATAAGCCAGAGTATTGATCAACCTTATGTTAGGAATACAGTAGGTCAACCCTTGACTTCTTTGCTAAAAAAATTAACAATAGCTAGACCAGGGGTGGGGAACCTGCACCCTTTTGAATGAACTATTTTTCTTGAAGTTACTATATAATAATTATAATTAACTTTTAATAAAATAGCCAACATTTTGCAATATAATCAAAATTCTTGATTGTGGCCTTATTAGATTACAGCTACTTTAATGCCCCCTTCCAACAAAGCTTCCCCACCTGATTTAGACCAATACATACATACAAGATATATAGAAATATAAAATACCGCAGGTTTTGTTTTTGGTTAGAGTAAAACAACATTAAATAAAATATCATCATTACTACTATTTCTAAGTGTATTTTTTTTCAGTGACATGAATGTTCACAGCAGGCAAAGAATTGATTCAACTCACAGTTATAATCCACATAAAACAAGTCATCTACAGAGCTGCTGCTAAGCATCTCATCATCCCCATTCACTTGGTCCATTTTGGCAGGTGAAGTCAAACACACAGGGGTTACCGGGGTGCAGTCCGAGTCAGAGTCAGACATGATGCCCCGCCTCCTGACATCTGGGCTGAACACAAAAACATATGTAAAGACAGTTAAATGTAAAATAAATGACATTATTTTTATACTCATTATTACTACAGTCGGCTGTTGATTATCACGTAATTTATTGTTTCATTTTCACTATATGACTGATGAAAATTATGACAGTTTCTCGATGAGCATTTCTCAATGTTCATTTATGGAATAAATTTATGGTAAAAAATAGCATGCCACAGATCTTTCCCCTCAGCTGCAAGGCTGAGGGGAAAGATCTGTGGCACACTACATTTTACCCTAACCCTTTTGAGGTCCACGCTGTAGTACTACAGCTTTGAGCTCAGGGTTTGTGCCATAGTACTAGGTGATGAGCTCAGCTCACTCAGATAAACAGTGAGCAGTAAACCTGGGCCTAGATATGCAAGAATGGTTCTATGCACTGAGTGTGCACCATATAAAAAAAAATCCTGTCCGATGCTATGCATGGGAAAAAAATTAACCGTGTATTAAGTTTAACCTTTTAACTGTCCAAGTGTTGAACAACATTCTTACTGCTAACGCTCCAAATGTAGATGGAGATTTCATTCTTCCTGCCTCCAAATTTGGCATAATAGGCCTGAGAGGCTTAGTCAGCATAGAATGGATCTTAGACCTCAGTGTGCGCAGTATTAAAAAAAAACTGGGGCCACTTAGTACCTCGTGGGAGCACCAGTTCAACTGGGCGCCAGCTAGAGCAAACAGCATGGCAAACCCCAGGGATTCACTAATGTCATGTCATATTAACACTCCTTCAAAGAGGAAAGTGATGTTGACTCCGAGTATAGTGGCTCTGAGACGGATGTGGTTGCAAATGATCAAGGAAATATAAAAAATCTAGATAATAACCTATGTGCAACATTTGTGTTACATCCTTTCCACTTTGTTACCAATGGTAGTGTCATCCTGCTGGCTTTGGCTTGTTGGCTGGCTGGCTTTGGCTTGTTGGCTGGCTGGCTTTGGCTGGCTAGCTAGCTAGCTCTATCTTTGTCTCAATATCTGTATCTCTCTGTCTGTCTCAGAGCTGCTCATAAACCAGGATCAAGGACTAAGTGTATGTAGGCACAGGTACACATAAGTACAATTATCACACGCAGTGTAAATTACGTAGGATAAACCAAAAAAGCATGACAAAGGCTATACTGTGCTTGTTGATATGAGGAATAAGCATGAATGTGTCAAGTAATACGCATTTCCACTTGTTCAGATGTGACTATTATGCAACGTGTGTAATACCTGTCGGTTCATGAGTGACTCTCTCTGAGAGATAGAGAGAGACAAGCAGACGCAGACAGGCAGACAGATAACCAGAGATAAAGAGACAGAGCTAGACAGAGAAAAACACATGTTTCTGTTTAACTGTGAGAACAAATTAAAAAACATATGCCAAGGGTCATGGAGTAGTGCACAATCAGCAATACTGAGGGACTGCACTGTCAGCAGTGTAAAGTGACACTCGTGTGATGCCATGCTTAGGAGTTTCACACTCCAGCACTTCTAAGGATATTGCTGGGACCAATAAATAATTTGTATATATTTCTAGACAAGGAGGTACTACCGTCCTGCCAAACGAATGTAAAACGAAAGCCTGTAATTGTTTTACATGATGGTAAGAGTGCAGGTGTCTTTTTTCTGCCTCATACACATGCAAGATTTCAGGTACATCTTGCTACTTCTACTTACATTTAGGTCATACTACACATGCATGTACAAGCATATATATATATATACACACCCCTCTGGGTTTTCTTCTATTTTCTTACTAGTTCTTGTTCTTGTTTATTTCCTCTTATCTCCATGGGGAAGTGGAACAGAATTCTTCCTCCGTAAGCCATGCGTGTTGTAAGAGGCAACTAAAATGCCGGGAACAAGGGGCTAATAACCTCTTCTCTTGTGTACATTACTAGAGTTAAAAAGAGAAACTTTTGTTTTTCTTTTTGGGCCACCTTGCCTTGGTGGAATACAGCCGATGTGTTGAAAGAAAGATTTCTAGATAATAGTATGTGACCAAGGCAGGCAAACATGTTCACCTGTCAGTGTGTTTGTGACTATTTGATTAATATGAAGGATTGAAATAGTAGTGTCAGAACAAAGATTAGCTGTAAAAGGTATATCGGCAACATTTCTGCGAGCGGCAGGACTCTACATTGCCGTCAGGTGAGCATCCAGTGCCAACTTCACCGCTTTATATCTCAATAAGTACTGGTGCTAAAATTTTGTTTTTTTGGTCTTATTACAAACAGAAAATTGCCCTCTTTGTTTCACTATTTCACTGTGCTAGCAGTGAAAATGTAGATCAACATATGGAGAGTTAAAGGGTTAAAATACCAAATTTGAGGTGTATTTTCAGATAGCTTTTATGGCTGTATTCTCAGTTTCTTGACATCATTTGATAGAGTGGATGATATATTACAGAAAAAGAGATGATTTTCATTGGTTTCAGGAGCTTGAAATTAAACTCAAAGTAGCAGAAATGTTTGATTTTTGCCAATATTCCAGAGGACACAAGTTATATCACTTGTCCAATACATGTCCAACTGGTCTGTGCTCACGAATGTATTGACTTTATACAATTATTACAATAATGCATAATAGTAAATTTTCTATTTTTTATGTGAATAAAAATTCAGAGAGGCCTGGGGACATAACTAATGAACAGAGGAAATGCTGTTTTAGTGCCAAGAATGTCTACACTGTCTCATTTGATAGAATGGAAGAATTTCTACAATAAATACCACCCACCTCTCACCCTACATTAAGACAACAAATATTTTAAGGTAGGCAATGAATATACTGTGTGTGTGTACTTTTATTATTTTTTATTTTTTAAACTAAACATGTATATGTTAGTGTAAACTTGCTATCTGGCATTTATATGCATTTATAAATGGAAAAATAGCGTTCCACGTTACAACAATTTACGCTTTATGGCGGTAGTCTGAAACCTAACCTGCTGTATAAGTGGAGGCTCTACTGGAACAATGTAATGGGCCTATATTATACAGTGGACCCCCGGTTAACGATATTTTTTCACTCCAGAAGTATGTTCAGGTGCCAGTACTGACCGAATTTGTTCCCATAAGAAATATTGTGAAGTAGATTAGTCCATTTCAGACCCCCAAACATACACGTACAAACGCACTTACATAAATACACTTACATAATTGGTCACATTCGGAGGTAATCGTTATGCGGGGGTCCACTGTATATATAATTATGGGGGAGCACTAAACCCATAGGATTATACAGAGAATGTGGGGGGATGGAAGGTATTCAGGCTGAATTCAGTGAACCGGAGCATAGATCCAATTCCCTAGATCAAGAGCCCCCTCACCAGCATCAAGGAACCTCCCTTGAGGGGTAATGGGCCTAAAATAGTGGGCAAAATCGCTGATGCGTAAATATCACTGACACAGCAAAATTTGCAAAAGCATAATTTCATCATTTTTCCATCAAATTTTGGACTTTTTGATTTATTACCTTCAAAAAAGATTCTCTACCATTTCATGAGAAAAAGGAACAAAAATTTCTTTGGAAAATTCTTGGACACTGTAGACAATTTTCAGGCACCAGCTGTAGCCTGGAATCTAACCTGCCATATAAGCAGGGCCTACTGAATGTAGGTACATAAGAGACAATCTCAATGGAAATAGACCATATTATTGTCTTTGCTGGATTATCCCGGTTTAGATAACCCTAATGAAGTCGCTTTCCTACAATTCATAGAATGGATATGGGATGCATGTTAAAACTATCAAATGAAAGCATTTCCTGGGACTGGTTTTAAATGTCTTCCAGGCAACTGAAATCCAAATTACCTTAAATCAAGAGAAACCTGAGGCTCAGAAACAGGTTTCGGAGTACAGGGACTTGGACTGCGTGCCTCATCACTGGAGTACGTAACATCCAGGTTTATCACTGTGGGTTTTGCCCTCTTGTTCTGCGATGTAGACATCTGTCTTTGGGAGCAAGCTCGCTTCCTTCCTATAAAGAATTGATAAAATTTAAGATAAATCTGCATGGTTTTAAATATAATGCAATTTATTTTTTAAAGGAAATATAATTCACAAAAAAGCAAGATTTTTGTAATTTTACAATAACAATAACAATCTTCAAAATAGCGAGGGTCACTCCGATCCATAAAGGAGGTGACCAAGCTGACTTGAATAACTACAGACCAATATCTAACTTACCACTGCTCTCTAAAATCTTTGAAAAATTAATTCATAGACGGATCCATTCCTACCTCGTCTCACACAACATATTAAACCCTTGTCAGTTTGGATTCAGGAATAATAAAACCACAAATGATGCTATCATACACATTCTAGAACTAATATATACCGCACTCGAAAAGAAAGAAATCCCGCTGGGAATTTTCAATGATTTATGTAAAACTTTTGATACAGTCGACCATGAACTGCTGTACTCTAAATTAATGCACTATGGTATCAGAGGCCATTCCCTCAATTACCTACAGTTATTACCTTAGTAGCAGAAGTCAATATGTGTACACAAATGATGCAAACTCTTCCACCCAACCAATCACAGTAGGAGTCCCACAAGGAAGTGTCCTTGGACCACTCCTCTTTCTCATCTACATCAATGATCTACTGAATGCATCACAGCTACTCAAACCCATATTATTTGCAGATGACACTACATACGTCTTCTCCCACCCAAACCCAGTCATACTCGCCAACACTGTCAATGCCGAATTGCAGAAAATATCTGCCTGGATGATGACTGATAAACTTACCCTGAATACTGATAAAACCTATTTCATTCAGTTTGGAAACAAAGCTGCAAATGTTCCACTTAACATAACGCTAAACGGATCACCAGTCACAAGACTTGCAGAGGGAAAATCCCTAGGTATCCACCTTGACAGTAGCCTTAAGTTCCAGACACATATATGTACAACAAATCACCAAGAAAATCTCTAAGACTGTAGGCATACTATCAAAGATACGGTACTACGTTCCACAATCAGCTCTCCTGGCACTGCATCATTCACTCGTATACCCTTATCTCACATATGGAATTTGTGCATGGGGATCAACAACATTAAATCACTTAAGGCCTCTAATAACCCAGCAAAAGGTTGCAGTCAGAATGATAACAAATTCCCACTCCTGACAGCATACTCCACCGATTTTCAAAAGTCTAAATCTGCTCACCATTAACCCTTTGACTGTTTCAGGCCCCTCTCTGAAACTGTCATTCTATGTCGCTCAATTTTTGAAAAAAAAAAAAATTATTTTTTCTTATGAAATGATAGAGAATCTTTTCCCGATGGTAATGACACCAAAAGTTCGAAATTTGGTCGAAAACTCGTGGAATTATGCTCCCGCGAAGTTAGCGGTCTCAGCGACATGTGCGTATCGGCAATTTCGCCGACTTTGAGCCCAATTTTCAGCCAATTCCATTGTTCCAGTTGACCAAACTCATAGCTATTTCTTTAGAACTCCATTTTATCTATCAGCTGAGTACAAGAAACCTCCCATTTACTAATTTGGACTACCCAATATGGTGGTCAGAAATTGGCAATTTGGCCAATTTCACGCAAAATAAAAATGATGCCAATTTCAAAATAGGGTCCAGAATAAACAAGGTAGACATTCGTGGCACTAAAATAACATATGCTCTGTTTATTAGTCACATCTCTAGGCCCCTCTTATATTATTATTGCTTTCTATTTTGATTTTTTATTCATACAAAAAAATACAAAATTTACTGTTATGCAGACGACTGCATTATTGTAAAAATGGTATAAATAATATCAGTGCACTAGTGAAAGAATATTAGACTCCCCAGTTGACTTGTATTGGACGTGTGGTGTGATTTATTTACTCTTGAACATTGGTAAAAATCGAACATTTCCGCTACTTTGAGCTCAGTTTCAAGGTCGTTTTCATCGTAAAAGTAATGAAAATCATCTCTATTTCTGTAATATGTTTTCCATTTTATCACCTAAGACCATGAAAACGCGAATACAATGATAAATACTATACGAAAATACACCTCAAAGTCGGCGTTTTATTCCAAAAAAACGATCAGAGTTTTTTTTTTCTCATTATGCAATGTGTGCTGCAGGATTTTTTTTATGTGGTGCACACTGACCACACAGACCCATTCTCTCACATGTGGGCCTACCAGCTTTCTCCCACTTGATTTGAAGCCGCTAGAATTATTGAGTATATATACGTCAGAAACATTGGCTCGTAAGACGTATTTATACGTCGAAAACAGTCAAAGGGTTAAGAACATCCATACTTATTCATGTGCCTACTACATACACAGAACAATACACACAAATATAAACCCTCCACTCAAACTTCTCCTCACCAACCTTAACAGGACACATGACCATAACACAAGACACAGATCTCTTTTTGATGTACCCCGTGTCCATATCACACTGTGTAAAAACTATGCACATAAAAGGCCCCAAAATATGGAATTCATTACCAGAAGATACTAAAGTAATCCTGTCTGAAAATCAATTTAAGACTCTTCTCAAAAGCCACTTAATCACCCTAGACTAAATGCTCAATACTCAGTATTCCCATACTCAATACGTATTCCCATATCATAATTTCAATACTCACTTTTGAACCTATTATCTGTTGTCGACAGGAATATAATTGAATCATTGTTTCACAAAAAGCATTTTTGAATATATGAATATATCTTTTGTTTTATATAAATTATATTCATTTATAATTAATAGATCTACTGTACAACTATGATATAATTCTTAGTGTTAAGTAGTGAGTAAGCCAATAATGTTAAGTCAACCCATAATGCCTAGGCATAATAGAGGCTCTCTTTGCATTGCAATCCATTATTGTAAATACATAATCTCAATGTACTATTTGCAAAGACATAAATAAATAAATAAATAAATAAATAAATAAATAAATAAATAAATAACAGTAATTTAGACATAAGGAAAGGTTTATTCAGGAAATCTAGAATTGCTTTTACAACAGCAATATAAATTATTAACCCTTTGAGGGTCTGTCGCATAGTTGTATGGCACTTAGGCCAGGGTCCAAGCCGTAGTACTAAGTCATAAGCTCAGTTCACTCAGATAAGCCGTGAGCAGTAAATTTGAACCTAGATATGAGAGAATACATCTGTGGTAAGTGTGCACCATATAAAACAAATCCTGCAGCATGCAGTGCATAGAGAAAAAAACTTTGACTGTGTTTTTGGATTAACCCTTTCACTGTTGGTGCCATAGTACTATGGCTTACAAGTCATTGTTGGTGCCATAGTACTACGCCAAAATTTTAGCGGCTTCAAATCTAGCGGGAGAAACTGGTAGACCTACATATGAGAGAATGGGTCTGAGTGGTCAGTGTGCGCAGTATAAAAAAAATCCTGCAGCATCCAATGCATAACGAGAAAAAAAACTCCGACCGTGTTTTTGGTTTAAAACACTGACTTTGCGGTGTATTTTCATATAGCATTTTTAGTCGTACAGTGGACCCCCGCATACCGTACGCATCGCATACCGGTCGCTTTGATCGCAAAAATTTTGCCTCGCATACCGCCCAAAAACCCACTCACCGCCCTTTGTCCGAGACGCGTCCAATGTGCGGCCTGAGCCAGCCTCTTTAATTTTCCCGCCGGGGGCTTTGGGTTTACCAGCCAGCCTCCGCGGTAACTTTCCAAGATACAATCAAATTTTTTCGTTTTAAATTACTTTTGTTTTCGGTGCTTTATCTGAAAAAAAGTGACCAGGGGCCCAAAAGAAAGCTCTATTTTCCCAAACCCCTTTTTTAAAACCACAATGGGGTGAAATTTCCCCAATAGAAAAATGAAGAAAGAGATCATTAAATAAGAATGAAATTGGATTCGTGTCGCCGACCTGGCCCCCCAAAAGGTTTGAAACAAAAACCCCAAAATAAACCCAAACCTACTATTGGGGCAACAGAAAGGCAATCAAGGAAGCTGTTTTTTCCAAAAGGGTTAAACCCTGTGTTTTTCGAAATAAGATTTTTCTTTTAAAAGGTAAAAATGGGAAGTTTGGGTTTGAGAAAAAAAACCTTTTTATTTGGGTGTGGGAAAATTAAAGGAAATTGGTTTAGGGGAAAAAGATAGGGCTTCAAGGGATCAGGGGAACCCGGGGAAAAAGGCGGGAAAAATTGGGCAATTAAGGGTTTTTAATTAAAAAAGTCAAAAACCCAAAAAGTGAATTGGGGATGAAAAGGGCCCGGGGTTTTGGGGAAGAAAAGAAGCAAACCCTTTACTAGGGGAAAAAGGGTTTTTAGGCCAAAGTTGGAAAAAAAAGGCAAAAATTTTTAAAAGGGAATGGGGGTACGGTAATTGAAAGGTGAACCTTTTAAAAGGTTTAATTTGAAACCCCTGATTTAAGGAAAAGAAGGGGCCCTCCTCAAGGAAAAGGGCCCCCCCGGGACAAACCTTAAAGGCAGGGTTTACTTTTACTTTTCCCAAATGACGGGTTTACAATGCCATTTGCCCCCTGAAAAAAACCCTTCAGAAAAAAAATTGTTTTAAAGTTTGGTGTTGGAAAAATGAAGGCATGGGTACGGGGATTTTTCAAGATTTTAACCCAGGGGGACACCCCGAAAATTAAAAAATAAAAAGTTTTAGCCCTTAATCCCTCCTTGTTGAAACCCCCCGGGTACCAAAAGGTTTTTGAAAACTTCAAAAAACTTAAAAAAGTTTTTTAAAATCCTTTAAAAAAGGGGGAAAAAAACCCTTCAAAAAAACTGACCAAAAGATTTTTAAAAAGGGGCCCTTTTAAATACCCAAATTTAAACCTTTTAAAAAATTTTTTGGGAGGATTTAATCCCCAAATTTGGAAAAAAAAAAAAAGGGGAAAAAAAAAAAAAAAGACCTTGAACCTGCTTGGAAGAAACTGTGGCCAAAGGGGGTAGACAAAAGGGTTTTTAAAGGGGTTTTTAAAGGCCCAAACCCCTGAAGGATTATGCCAGTTGAGGAATCCATTG